ACTCTCCTTAATGGCACAAAGACCTTCAGCAATTGTTGACTTTGGCTAGCTTTTTTGTGTCTAAACACATACAGGCAGAGATGGCAAGCATAAAGGCTGAATAAGGAAATTTAATAAATAAGTAAAATGTGAATCAGGGCATTGCTGTTTAGAAAAATTAACCAGCTCAGCAGGCTCTTGCTCAATATTCAGAGCCTTCACCTTTGAAGGGGGATGAAGAGTTGGTATTTTGAAACAGGTGCTGTGGGCTAGGAAGTCAATAAGGGAAAACTAAAACCATTGTCTCATTGTAACAAGCAGAGTTGTGGCCTGTGACTTTGAATTTGTAACAGATCATTTCAGCTTAGTTTTTGGACAAAGAGGAGCTGTAGTCATAATTATAATAGTTCTTAATGATCTCCTTAGAGTGACCGTGTGGGCTGGAACAAAGAATAGAGAATAATTTTCTATGTGTAACATTTCCAAAATGCCATAACTATGTAGGAGAAATGATTATGTGTTTATAAAATGCACTGACTTTCTCAGAATCAGAGAAATTGCAGACTTGGAATGATTCTTAAGAGTCATCTAGTCCAACTCTGATTTTTATCCATCCACCACCAGATATATGAAACCCAGCAAATAAATTCAGAAAGAATTTGATTAGAACAGAATTCTTTGATAATCAGACCTAATATCTCTCTCCAAAACTCTATTTTTATAAATAAGAAAAAAATTGTTATCAACTGTTGTGAATGTGAATTGTAGAATGAATCAAACTTACTGGGAAATCTGATGTTTTTATAGCAAGTATTTATTGAGTGCTTACCCTATGCTACATGCTTTACAGGAATCATCTTATTTGGTCCGAGTGAAGTTGCTATTATTTAGACATATAAAGAAATTTAGACGTATTAAGTTATTGAATTGAGATCCCACAGCTAGCAGATGAGAGAACCAAAATTCAAATCGGGTCTGTCTTACACTGGGACAGAAATAGAAACACCATACAAAATATTCAGAATGATGGTCCAGATGTGATTTAAAAAAAAAAAAAAGTCTGCAATCATCAAACAATAAATTAGTTGAATGGTCTTTTAAAGTCAGACAAATATCAGTTTGCTATCCTATTTCTACCACATGTGGGATCTAGGTCAAAAATCTGAGCCTTTCCTTGCCTCTCTTATCTAAAAAATGGTAATAATAAAATCTCATAGAGTGGTTGTAAAGATTATGTGTAAGGTTTCTACTAGTACAGTAACTGACAAGCATTCACGTCTTAGGAAGGAAGGAAGGAGTAATTCTTTCCTAATATATTAAAGTTCCACATTCATTTTTGGTCAGTGAAATTCGAGATTAACATACCTCAAATTTGGTTAAGCCTGTGGCCTATCTTGAATATCATATGTAATATGCATGTATACAGGCTTATCCTGGTTAAACATGGGGACTATCCTTAGCAAGGAAAAGCAATGAGTAAGTCAATACATCTGTGTCCCATTGAAACCTCCAAATCAGGAAACAGAGATAGAAATTATGTGGCAGAAATTTCTAATCCAGTCTGATATTCTGAAAGCTCAAAAGCTAAATCTGAGATCCAAATAAATGAAATGGTTTGACCAATATCATATCAGGAGTCAATACGAATCTGTCCCAGGACAAGAACAAAGCCTTGTAGCTTCTGGTTCTGGGCTGTACCCTCTATTTACGTTTGGATTATAAAGAATATACACTGGCTTGGCAATTTTTTTAATCAAAGAATCTTTAAAATACTTTGAACATTCTACGCTAAGCAAATAATCCAAACTGGACTATACTCGGGGGAGAGTAGAAAGACCAAATGCATGAAGGATACTCTGAGGCTGCTTTTTTCCTATAATGACACCAAATTCGAAGTAGCCGTAAAAATGACTCAGTTTGTCCTCTCCTTTAAGTCTTTGCTCAAATGTCACCTTTTTCCTAAGACCACCCTAACCACTCTATTTAAATTGGCTCCTTTGCCCCAAATATCCCATCCCCCTTCCTCTGCTTTATTTTTCCCATGACACTATCATTTTCTAACATGTAACATGGTTAACTTACTCTTGTGTTTATTGACCAGCCCTTCACAAGAATGTATATTTAAGAAGGCATGGATTTTTGTCTTATCTTCCCTGCTGTACTCCCATCACCTAGAACAACTCTGGGTACATAGTAAGGGCTCAATAATGTTTGTTGAATGAATTAATAGATGAATGATCTACAAAACTAGGAGACTGGATTAGTGAATTAGGGTATGATATTTTATTCTACTTATTTCAAGTGCTCATAAAAGTTAGGAAGCAAATGTAAAAACTTCTAGAGTATTCTATGAAGTGAATAAAAACAAGAGTCATGTTCACATATGTACTTAGAGGAGAACTAGGTAAAACTATGTGACAGAGAAAAGATTGAAAGGGAATGCAAAATGGGAGTGGGTTTTTAAGTTTTCATATATAAATTAGCATACTAATATATTAGCATTATACGTGATCCTTGGCTAAAGCATTCTGTCTTCATTTTAGATAAAGTTGCTAGGTAATCAGGCAAGGAGGCCATAGGCCCACAGCATCCCAAGCAATGGAGCTAGAACTTTCAGGATTATGTAGTTGAGCTCCTCTCTTCTAGCCATTTGAGAACGTACAATATACTACTGTTAATTATAGATGCCTAGTACTGCTGTATACCACTAGAACTTATTTTACATATCTGGGTATAATTTTGTGTCTGTTAATCAACTTCTCTCTATCTACACCCCCCGCTTTTCTTTCCCAGACTCTAGTAACCACTCTACTTCTAAAACCTCAATTTTTTTGTCTTTGTTTTTTTTTGGCTCCCACATATGAGTGAGAACATGCAGTATTTATCTTTCTGTACCTGACTTATTTGACTTAACATAATGTCTTGTAGGGTCATCCGTGTTGCTGCAAATGACAGGATTTCATTTTTTTTTTCATGGCTGAGTAGTATTCCATTGTGTTAACTACCACATTTTCTTTATCCATTCCTCTGTCAGTGGACTCCTAGGTTGATTCCGTACCTTGGCTATTTTGAATAGTGCTGTAGTAAACATGGGGTACAGGTATCTCTTCTAATTTATTATATGTGCTAATATGGACTAATATATTTAAACTATATCTAAAATGTACCTTGGCTATTTTGAATAGTGCTGTAGTAAACATGGGGTACAGATATCTCTTCTAATTTATTATATGTGCTAATATGGACTAATATATTTAAACTATATCTAAAATATAGTTTGTTTCATTTGAGAAAGACAGCAGTATAACAACTATTTACATAGCATTTACATTGTATTATTATAAGTAATCTAGAGATGATTTAAAGTATACGAGAGGATGTGTGTGAGTTATATGCAAATACCCCATTTTACATCAGGCACTTGAGCATCCGCAGATTCTGGTATCCAAGAAAGTCCTGAAACCAATGCCCTGTGGATACCGAGAGAGGACTACATAAACATGAAAGTTCAAGCTCCATTGTTTGGTATGCTGTGAGCCTATAGCTTCTTTGCCTGATTCCCTATCATCTTTATCTAAAATAGAGAATGCTTTAGTCAAGGAACATATTAGTGCTCAGTTTTCCTTCCTATTTCCAGAAACCTGTGTGTTGCAGATTTGGTTCAGGAATTGGCAAGTTAATATATTTAATTTTAGCTGACTACACTGTTTTGTTCACATTCCCCTTCTCAATCTATTCTAGTTGATACAGGTCTCCTAAATTCCCCTTTTACTATTCCTCTCTACGTTCATATGTCTTGTTTCTGTTTTGTTTTTAACCTCTTCTTTTGTCCTGTTCTCACAGCTGCCACCCTCTACTCCTTGTATTTGTCCTGGTGCTCAGTCCCCAGTTAGCACATGGGCATTTCCCTGAACAAGTAAAGTTATGGTGCTGAGAGAGTTCAAGGCCAGAGAAATCCAGAACAGCCTCACTCACTGCCTTTTCCGGGCATCTAGAGGGAGTCAAGTGCCCAGACCTGTGTTCTGCATCCACCTTTCCATGATGCACACTGGGCCACTCCCTGCCTCTGTCTGTTTCTGCAAAGGTGGAGCCAGGGCTACCTTTACTGCAGCAGCTCCTCCTCTTGCCTGTCCCCTTCCTGCTTGCAAGGACAATCACAGGTCTTTATTCCTCACAGTGCAGTAAGTTTGTTGCTCTTCAATTTTTCCATTAATGCTAGAGGACAGGTTTCCTTGTAATCCTGATGAAAGCTGTTTAATCCTCAGAACCATTTGATTTTAGAATGGAAAGGCGTCTCAAAAGCCATCTAGTGAAATCACATTACAAATTCCTGGTCAGTACAGTGGTAGGTGCATGGCAGGTGTTAGGAAAATAGTTGCCATCAATTAATACCATAAAATCAACCATCACGCACCACTATACAGTAACTATTTTGTGCTATTAACTTTGTTTTAAAAACAGCTTTCAGTCATCTTTTATTCACATCTGTTTATAAGATCTATAAATAATCGTAGAGAAGGCCGTGCCTTAAAAGGCATGAGTTTCAGGCTGACAAGGGTGATGATATAAAAAGGAAAAGGATTGGTTACTGCGGTAAGAACAAGAAATGGCCTAAAGTTATGACAAAAGGATTACGTACAAATAATAACATCTTTCACTACCAAGAACTGTTAGATAATGGAAGGAGTTGCCATGGAAAGCTAAATAATGATGATTTCTGAGCTTAGCAACATATCCGGTATGATTCAATGGGTGATTACATTAGGTTTTCCTGGATGGAGTAAGATAGAATAAGTATGTTAAGTGGTTCCTCCCCCATGAGTTTGGAAAAGGTTAGATTTCCATTTTATTGAAAATGTAAAAATGATTATAAAGAGCAAGCCCCCTACCTACCTTAAAATCACCAACCTAGCCACCTTAACACCACTCTGGGGATATGAGAACTGTTTCCATGGGACTTTTTACCAGGACAGCTGACTTTTCATGATAATTTTTATAATTGTCATTTTTTTTTCTTTCAGGCTTGTAAATTTTATAGTTCCCAGTGGTATGTGGTAAACTACAAATATGAACAATATTCTGGAGACATTCGTCAGTTACCTCGGTAAGAACCTGTTATGAGTACTCTTGGATTGTTTTCATATATAGAATATCTTCTCTATTCAATTTCTGCCATGGTTTATTAGTACATGTACATAAATCTAGTGTCAAGGTACATTAGGAAAAAAATATAAATAAGAGAGGAAAGATAAAACATTTTATTCAACAGTGTACAGTTATATATTCCCAGAGTTTGGCATGAGTTATAAGCATACTCTGATTTAATTTTTGAATGAGGTTCAATCATTATGTTATTCTTTTGTGAGCTCTTCTTTCAATAACAGGTGCAAGAGGATCAAAAAAGCATCATATGACCAAAGAGTTTTTCTGACAATATTTTATACAGCATTCACATTAGCCACTTGTCTCATGTATTTTCATCCTGGGATACCAAAAATCATGAAAATAAACAACTTCCACAGCAGTGATATATATGTAAGAACAGTAAAAATGAAAATAAACGCCTAATTTTTTCCCTGACTATTGAGAAATTGATACCAAGAAGGAGAAGAATAAAACTGCCCCAAAGTAAGAAACTTTAAAGAACAGTACGTATTCAAAATGAAAATCAGAAATTGGAGTTGCATTACTGTGAGGAACAAAACAATGTTCCTCCAAAACAGCAAATCTTTTTTTTTTTCTAAAGACTAAACATTGACTACTACCAATTCTCTGAACACTCTTTTAGACTCAGGTCTGATAGATAACCTCTTGCAACCCCCCTGCTGGGAAGGTCCACCACACCCTGGGCCTTTGTGAGTAATTACTATATTTAGAATGTCTGGGTGTTGATCACACGCTTTTTGTAGGCACAATCAAAAAGCAAACATTTTTTAACATCAAGACTTCCTCTTTCTGAAATTAGTTCTGAGAAGTAGTTACAACTTGGAATCTGCCTCCAAGCAGTTGGAAGAATGCATATAAAGTGAGAGGATGTCAACAGGAGCATGTAGCTGCCCTTTTAAATAAATGCCTTTTCATCGTCTTCAGGTCTACTGAGGTCTTCAGTGGCTATATCCCCAAACACATTATCTTTTCTTATATTTGTGACAGCGTAAAAAAAAAAAAGTAAATATAAGATTTCATGTTAGCAGTATTCTTTCTCTTTTAAAACAATAGAGAAAGCATCTCCAGTAAGAACAGGTTCTGGACATGATTGTTGAGCAGGGAAGTAAATATAAGATTTCATGTTAGCAGTATTCTTTCTCTGTTAAAACAATAGAGAAAGCATCTCCAGTAAGAACAGGTTCTGGACATGATTGTTGAGCAGGGATTCTCATCAAACATGCAAAGATTAATCTCATGAAAAGAAATGAGAAAGTTACTGAAACATTGTTGTGAATTTTGCTTACTTTAAGGAAGTGGAAGTTGATACCAAGAAAGAAAAGAATAAAACTGGTCCAAAGTAAGAAACTTTAAAGAACTGTATACATTCAAAATGAAAATCAGAAGTTGTAGAATATAATCCTCTAGCACATACCCTAGAATAATGAAGACTGTAGCACTGAACAGCAGAATTATTCCTTAATGATTTTACAAAGCTAAGCACTCTCCCCTAAAGACTACACATATTCATGTCAGTAGTGGAAACAGATTATTTACTAGGGCCTTCTGAGACTGTTAGAAGTAAATCATTTTTGTACCTTCTGGATTGGAAGAATTCTCCTATGTCTGCTACCAACTTAAATTGATCATTTCTTTTGATGAGTTGCTGAGGCTGCGAAATAAAATTTTGCAATTATGGAAAGTGAAAAGGAGGTGAAATTTATTCTTTAAACTCAAAATTGTGTTATTATTGACTCGTAAGAACTCCACTCTCTTTTAAGTGTGCATTCATAGGAAAACACTAGAGAGATATATAATTTCAGGCTACAATGTAAAATGGTAGCCTTCACATTTTAGGAATAAAAATCAGCACTGAACTTGGAATTCCCAGGAGATAAGAGCAGAATAAAAATATATGACACCACTGATTTCATTAACCCACTAGATAAAATACAGAGATGTATGACATATTAAAGTCTTTTTACCACAGTTGATTTGATAGAAAGAATAAAATATTGTAAGAGTATATTTCGTGACTGAAGATCAAATAAAGTATGACTAGTTTAGCTGGGCTGAATTAGAACAGAATGTGGGGGGGTTGGGGGGGTTGTTTTTTAATAAAAGCATTTTTTGAGTGTCTACAGTGAGCCAGAATGTTCTGGTGCTATACACACATGATGTCATTTAACACTCATATCCCTCTGGAATAGGAATTGTTATCCCCATTTTATAGAGGAGCCTTGAATGGTAACTTGCCCCAGACCTCACTGCTAATAACTGGTGGGGCATTCAAACATCCCCACAACCTTATATGGATGATGGAGGTAATTTGGGTGTAGAAGTGAGAAATGAGACTGCTTATAAATGACAAGTAATGTTGGGGTCAAAACTAGAGGGTGAGGTCCCTGATGGACCCTTCATCTCAGGATCCCAGAGGTTCTTGGAGACCACACACTGCTCAAGGGGAAAGAATTTTAAAGCCAGTAGCCACAGGTTCAAATCTTTTAGTGATCTTTAAAAGAGAGAACAGTCACTGCATTTAATAGCCTCCCCCACCCCACCCCCAGACATCAGACTGAGAGTGATGATTGCTCTTTAAAGGCAGGGAGGTTGTGGTTGTGCCCTGTGGATAAATGGGAACAAAGCCAGGAAATAAGAGTCCTCAGTAGCCCTCGAGCCTCAGCAACAATCTAAACACTGTCTGCCATCCATGCCCAAGAGCCTTTACTTACATGCCGGGCTTTCCTCCCACAGCTCTGAACCCCAATATTCTTCCCCTGAGCCCCAACCCCCATAGTTTTTCCCTCCTGGATGCTCCAAGCGTGGCCCCTGCTCAGAACCTTCACTCTTGCAATTTCTACTGCCAGAACAATTTTCTCCCAAATCATCACACAATCTGGGAGTTTAAATACCTCCCAAGAGAGGCCATCCCTGATTACCCCTTCTAAATTTGGCCTCTGCTGTCCCTAACCTGGTCACTCTTTTCTCTTCCCCTCTTTGATTTTCTTAACGACCATTTCTAGGGAAATTATCTTGCTTATTTCTACATAATTAATTATTGACTCTGCTCCCCTAGAATGCCAGCTTCCTCAGTTCAGGGATGTATTTTCTGGTATGGGGTTGGCATTACCACCACTCTTCCACGTGCCAGTTATTATCTGGAAACTAGGGAAGAAGAGTGACCTCCAGGAATTAAGACAGCTCTCAATTCACACTGAACTCAATTAGCCAAACTCAGAATTAGGAAAAGCCAGCAATGAAAGGTCATGCCCACATTCACCACAAACCTACTCCCAGATATGACCTACATTGACACTCACTGGCCTGCACATTTTTCTTTTTTTTTTCCTAAATGAGGAGTAAGATCTGCTTGAACATGGCTAGGGACTACTGGAGGTGGCTGAGTTATGCTATTGACCTCATGGGTGGTATTTGTCTCGTATCTTCTGGGTTATTTTTGAATCAGAATACTTAATGTGAATTTAAGAGAAATATTTAAAGAAAATTTTATTTTAGGAAAGAGTGTGGAGACTTTGTAAGTTTTAATATAGTATAATATATATAATAGGGTAACTATCAAAATATTAAATGTAACATTTGGGAAATTCTTGAAAACTTTTTCAGCATTTGTATGAAGCTCTTTTCTCTCTCTTCTAAATGATCTGTTTTTGAAATATATTAAGGAAAAATCATTGAGAAATTCTTACTCAACCTTGTCTTTGAGAATATTTTATCTATATTTTTGTACAATTTTTGATTTTCCTTAGTATAAGAATCAGTTGTCATTTTTGGTGACTCTTTGTATAATTCCTTCCATACTTTAACGATTTTAACCCTCCATCACTTTTAAATGTTATGCAAATTTTCAAACATAGAAAATGTTGGAAGACTTGTGTACAACGAACATCCATATTCTCACCACCTAGAATTTGTTTTTCCATTTTCCTGTATTTGTTTTATCACATTACCTGTCCATCCATCCATCTCTCTAGCCATCCATCAATCCAACTTATTTTTTGATTGTTTCAAAGTGAGTTTAAAACATCAGCACACTGCCTCTGTAAACACCTCAGAATGCATATCTTTAAATGGACATATACGTTTGCACTTTAATTTTCTCTTTCGAGGTAAAGTTTACCGACAGGTAGATGCACAAACTGTGAGTGAAGCATTTGATAACTTCTGACTGTGAGCACACCTGTGCGACTCAAACCTCTGCTGAGATACGAGTATTATTATTCCCTCCAGAGACTAACTTCCTGTTCATTCCTCAACTCTGCTTCCTTTTCCCTTCAGAGACAACCACTGCTCTGATTCTCATAACACTGGAGTCATACCATGTGTATTTTTGTATTTCTGGCTTCTGTTACTTAGTGTGTTTTTGCATGACCTCCATGTTTGTTGCAGGTTTCAGTAGTTCCTTTTCCTTTCTGAGTATCAGCAATGCTTTGTGTGGATCTGCTATAGTTTGTTGAGCCATTCTCCTATTGAGGGACACTTCTTCAGCATTTTGAGCTGAGTTATTCATAAATCACTTCAAATCCTTGGGTTTTTGTGAAACTTTGGCCATAATTTTATAGGCTATCTCAGTCATCATTTCCACTTCTCAACTAGGAGATTTGTGGAAAGCCTCACAAATATTTACCATTAGACATTGAGATTTCATGAAAACCTGACTTTGTCCCCTTACTTTTCTGTTCTTGTACCATTCCTAGTTTGAAAAGCTGTGCCCTCTCTCCCTTGTTTACAAGTGTGTTGTGGAAACCAATGCTAATGAGAGAATATGGACTGTGGAGCTGACCAATATTGTGATCGATCCACGGTTATCAAGAACAAATGCCTACAACATTATTCTTTGCTAAGAAAGAGGAGGAAGTACAAGCCGTGCTTGCAAAGAGGACAGAATAAGGAGATCAGAAGCAAGTAGCAATGTATCAAGGTCACAGGAGACTGATGGGAAATGACCAGCATAGGGCCAAATGTTGACGTCCCATGTTCAAGTTTGTCTTTGCTGCCTCTCCCTCAGTTTCCCCCACCATTCCCTTTTCATTCCATTCACTTGAAATGTTTCCTCAATCTTCCCTTTACAGCCAGGCCATCATTTTAAGAATCCTGGAACACTCATGTTCCATCCTCTGCAGACACAATGCTTTGTGTAACTGCTCTGAAATCAGCTATTTGAACCTGCCTCTGAATCTCAGGTGACATATTACCTCTCACAGCAGGGTTAAAGAAGAAAGGATTGTCTTTAGGGCTTTATTTTGCCAATCAAATGAAAAGGTAAAAAGGGCTGCTTCTTGTTCAAGGAATGTCAGGTATATCAAAAGGAAAATAAATATTTTTGGTGGGGTAGGAAGAATTTCCCTGTGGTCCTAAAATAACACAGTGTAGTCTGCCACTTGCTCTACCTTAACGCAAAGTTGACCCTGACCAAAAGGAGCAGAACAGGTTAACTAACATCTGCGCATTTGGCACAAATAAGCTTGAGTATCTCTAAAGCTCTGCAAGAAGGAAAACTAATTATAGGTACATCAGCATTCTTTGGAAGAGAAAAATAACTGTAGTCTTACTTAATGTGCTTATTAAAGATGGTCTAAACTCACCTTTCCTAAATACAGGAATTATTTCAGAGATGAGTCTTCTAATCCCATCTCTTTCACTGTGTGCTTATGTAAGTGACCATTATGGGCTTTGTTTTTATCTCTGTAAAATGGCAAAATTAGACAAGACTATGGAGCCCCACTTTTGTGTATAAATGTCTGATTGCACACATTTATAATTTAATAAATAGCAGCATTCCACTTAATACATATTTAGACTTCAGTACAAAACTTCTGTATATATTTTTGAACTTCTTTGTATTTGTAAATAAGTCATGGATGAGGAAAGCCATACCGTGTATTAACATGTTTTTGAAATTTGAGAGAGCACATGCCCGTACATGCAAAATGTATATATACACAAACATTTATTGAACACCTGTTATGTGCCAGACCTTGAGGTAGAGATAACCTTGAAATAAACATTTCTTACCACTCTCCATTCAAGCCTGCAACTGTTGCAACTATTTCGGTCTTGGGATTTTATCAAGACTATGCAACAAAACAAAATAGAGAAGTGACTTGGAACTAGGACTTATGCAGGACTCCAGATATCATTCTTAATGCTCCGTCTTAAGTACTGTGTTACTCAGAACAGCTTTATTGTTCTTAGTTATTGATTTGGGTAGCAAGTAACCTTTTATTAATTTGAATTTATAAAACAAAGTCATGATAGTAAAATACTTTTTTTTTAAATTTTTATTTTGTCAATATACAATGTAGTTATTTATTGTGTCCCATCACCGAAACCTCCCTCCCTCCTCCCTCTCTCCCCTCCCACCCAGGTGTGTCCCCTCCATTTTCTTGTTGTAAGAACTTCAAAAAAAAAGTTGTGGTTGTTATATCTTCCTCTCCCCCCCCCGTTTTGTTGTTGTTGTTTGTTTGTTTTTTGTGTGTGTGTGTGAGAGTGTGTGTGTGTGTATGTGTGTGTGTGTGTATGTATGTGTGTGAATTGATTCATTCACCT